TGCCGGCCAACCGGTCCAACTCTCTGGATGGCGGCATCCACGGATACTCCACTTGAGGAGCGTGGCGCAGGAAATTTCGGTTCCTATCCTCTTGATAAGTATCAGCACGATCTCTGACACCATTGACACCTCGATCCTTCTAATAACTTCGCTCGTGGTGATGTATAGGTGCATCACCACCATCCCCACGCGTCCTATAGTTGGATGGATTTGTGTGAGGCGGGGATCAGTCGGAATAATCGCTCGATCCGAAGATTCTGAGCATGATGCCGCCGCGTTAACCAGAGCCAGTCAAACTGTCTCTTGAAGTGTCCGCTTTGGATAATTTAGAGGCTGGAATGTGCCACCTTCGAGTCGAATGCATCATTCGACTCGCCGGATTAGATGGCCTCTACTTTAGGCTCATCTACATTGCGAGTCACAGGACCTTCTGTAGACGCAGCGGATGTATCTGTCGCACGTGGACTATTCACAACAGGCACCGCCTGTTGCTGAATCGCAACAGCAGAAAAGGATCATCTGCTGCTGAATCAAGAGAAGAACTTTCTCTGGCTGCACGCACGCGTGCTGCGCTACTCAGGCTACTTCGGCAGCACACCGCTTGGACTTTGACACCACGCGATGAATTGGAAATAAGTTGGAATCTGACAAACAAGTGCTCTCTTCCTAGATAAATCTAATGGTGGTCACTCTGTCGAAATCAGTTAAATTCAATCACCGGGTGATTGATGGTTAAGGGAGGGGTGATGTTATGGGGTAGCCCCTTTACATGATATTGACACCAAACGGTGTCAATAGAGATATTGTCTAGCATGAAAATTCCCTGCCAATATCATCCGAGATGGATAATACTGAAGGAATATCACCCATTCAGGTAATATTCATGTGCCGCTCGAATATTAATGAAATACTTATTAATCATGTCTACCGCCAATCGCTGCTAGACGCGCATTATGGGTGTGGACAGGTAGTCGTCATACGACAATGTAGATTAAAATGGTCTCATATAGATTGAGTTTTATATCGATAGATCAACAACATTAAATACAGATTTGTTTTCACCGGCTTCAAACGAGTTATGTAAGTAAATTTGTATTCCTCTGCACGTACTAGTGCACGTGAAGTTTCGTGGCACCCCAAAAAAAAGGGTGCCCCGTACAAGTGAAGCTCTCGGTAGTGGTCAGAGAAGATTTATAATGCTGAATTCTAACTTTTGGCTATCGCGTAGCGTGATCAATCAAATTAATTCTGTCGTTTCCATCCTTTAAGAGTTATTGAGGTCGACGTGATCAGTATAAAAACAGTACCTACCCTCTTGAGTTTTGGGTCGGCAATGATCCATTAAATTACTTTTCTCCACATACCTTGTCTTTCTTTTAAATGAGACAGATCTTTTTCGCTTTGATTATTAAGGCTTTTGTACCGGGTTGGCATAATATTCATCACATTGTCTTGTAATAGCATTTACCATCAGGTGACCGAGCGTCAGATATAACAAAGAATTTAAAATGTCGCGCAGGCTATCTTTCATGCTGACGCGCCTTTGATGCATGACTAGCTCCAGACGAGCAACGGGAGAAGCCGGTAGTCAGGATTGTTGCTTCCTTCAGACTAAGGCTTCTTATTCTTATAAAAATGACGTCTTAATTTTTATGTTCATGAAGCACACGACCATACATGACACATCAGTTGCAGCACAAATACCTCAGCGAGCTGCATTGGGCGAAGTATCAATTTTGTCGAATTACTTTTATGAATACGTGTCAGCATCAGCATTCTTAGACCCCTTAATGTAGTGCCTATAGAGACGGTTCTACGCAATCAGAAGCTACCAATGTTGACGCGAATGCTGAACAGGTCGAATAAACAATATTCATATTGTGGGTGTGAACAACCTCAGCGGAACCGAGCAGCTCAGTTCAAATTTTGCGCAATCTTTCGGCAATAGAAAGAAGCGCAATCTCCATTGTCGTGCAGTTTATGTGTCGCTTCTTAAGGATACGCAAGAATATGATTCTTCTGCAAACTAGTTCTATACACTGCATGACGCTAGCGACGGAGTAGATGTGAAATGTTGCTCGAAGTCGGGAACGCAAGCAGGACCGCTTAAAAAACGCTTTTTGTACAGCGTGAAATGCTTGCGCGTCACGTGTTGGCCACTCAAATTGAACTTCGGAGTTTGCGAACCGGTGAAGTAATTGACACATTGCCGTCTTCTTTAGTTCATCTTTTTGGTATCGTTTATTATCCCGAAAAGCTTCATAGTTTCTTCTTGGTCTTCGGTATGACGATTAGTGAATTACTTAAATTTTAATCTGCTGGGGATGAGTTCCTGAGGAAGTAAGCGTAAAACCAAGGTAGTCGATGGACTAGCGTAGTATATGGCGTTTCGTGCCGTTGAGAGCCACTTCATGCTTATCTAGTCTCTTGAACACGATATTTAGACTCCCTCAGGCCCACTGGAAATGTAGCAATCATCCTAAGAGGATCATTAGGGCCAAATGATCGGTATCCTTCTTGCTGTCTGGTGTAACGGGGAACCCTTTGTTTTGGAGTGCCACGAAACTTTACGTACACTAGTACGTGCAGAGGAAGCTAATCTACTCAAACAGATAGTTTGAGTAAAGAGTACAAAGAGAACTGTATTTAATGTCGTTAAGCTATCTAAATAACTTCAAACTTTATCTAACTATTTTAATCTACATTGTCGTATGACGACAACCTGCTCAGCACTCATTGCGCGCGTCTAGCTGCGACTGATGGTAATATGCGGTTGATAGGTCTTTTATCAACCAATCTTGGAGCAGCGCATGAACATTATCCTACAAGGGGATAACATTCCTTCAATATTACCCATCTCGGATAATATTGGTAGGAAATTGTCACGCTAGACAATATCCCTACTGACACCGTTTGGTTTCAATATCGGTCTACCCCGTTACATCTGGTCTCTGCTCGATTTTTTTCAGGGGCATTTACGCCAACTCATGAGTTCTTTTTGGTATCAAACGAAAGTCTCAATGCACACAGCACCCATATACCCTCGTCTTGTAAGTATAGGAGGGTGTTCCAACAAAAAAGATGTCATCGACACTACCTTCTTACAAATTCGGCGAGGCCGCAAGTATAACGGGGCACCCTGAAGCTTGTACTGATGACAGTATAAGCTACTTATTCCGATGACAGAATAAGGCGGTGCCTCGGAACTTCACGTACACTCGTACGTGCAGAGGAAGACGGTAAGAAGAAGCGAGTACTTGGTTAGAGTAAAAAGTAGAACTGTATTTATAATGGTTAATGTCTGCAATAAATCACTATTTATCTTCATCTAACTATGTCTAAATACAAATGTGCATATCAACTATCTGCTCACCACTCATTGCGTGCGTCTGTCGTGGTGCGTCTTCGTTGGTTGATATAATGGCCTATATCATCCAATTAGGAACTACTTGTAAGTGCTACAGAATATTTGTCCTTATGACAATATTCTGAGAATATAACTCTTATAGTTATATTCTATTAACAATTTCTTATAAATTGCTATGTAACGATTCACCCCGTTACATCACCCCCCCCTTAACCATCGGTCACTTTAGTGACTGATTGACTAAATTGATACTCGTCCCGAACCATTTGGGACAGGGTTTGCACTTGTTGGTCCGAGCCCACTTTCCAACAATTCATCGCATGGTTGACATATCCATGCGGTGCGCGAACAAGGCCGATGAGAGCGCGTCTGCATGTATCTGTGTGGAAGCCGAAGCAGAAACCACAGCAACTGATGTGTCATCGGTTGATGAAGCGACTCAGCCTGTGTCACTTGGTGATGCAGGCGCTCGTCATGAAGACACTCATGTCTTCACAGAGTATGAGCTCGGTGTCTCATACTCTCCTGATACGGAAGACGGATCCGTATCGACGGCGATCGAAACCAAGCCGTCTGCCAAGTGTGCCATGGATGATGCTATGCGTCGTAGCATCTTTGATTCATCTGATGAATCAGATGAACCATCGCCGAAGCGAAGGCGCTCGAGGTCGCGAGACTCGGGCGCTAACAGTGGTGTCGGTTCTCCTATGGACACCACTTCGCAACGAGGTGCCAGTACTTCTGTCGGCACGTCGCAGGAAGAGCGGGATCGCAATGTCTTGCGTCTCGCTCCCGAGAAGAAGGCATGGATGCCTCCCAAATCTGTCATGGATCACTTGTCGGCGACGACAAGTGATCGCTATCGAACACGATTGTTCGATTCGTCAAGGATCCATCACCTTGACCCCAGTGCGAAAAACTATCGCGCTGAACATGAATTCTTCATCGATACTTTCTTCAAACATCGATGGTACAGTGGGAATCACAAACGTGATGGTCCCTCACTGCTTCAAGCGTGGAACGCCTACATCCATAACCTTGAGGATGTAGGTCGTGACGCTTGGAACGACAAACTTATCAAAGCTCGTGATAAGTTTGAAAAGCGAACCCCGACAGGTGCACGCTACAAGCTGCATCGTCTGTCAAGGGAGAAAGGATTACCCTGCCTTTCCTGGGGAGACTCGTGCCCATGTTGTGTGAACAACTCTGCACGAGCACCTAAGGAGGCTTACCTCCTTACCAGCCCGTGGTGGCGCGTACGTATCTCTATTGAGATGTACGAAGGGATTGACAACCTGAAATCCCTTTATTTCCGTGCCGGGAAGCCTTTCTCCAGCGGTCCTTCTGCGGCACAGGATGTGCCGCGTCGTACTGCTCAACCATACCCCGTACTTCGATCATCAGTTGGGAGCGGGGCTCCCAATTATCCCAGGACGGGGGATAGCCGCGCCACCGGACAAGATAACTCGTCCGACGTCCGTTCACGTCGCGGTGGTTCAACAGTTGCTCAACTAGATAGCGCTGGCCACCGCGAGAGTCCTCTAATGGAGGTGGAGGAGGAGGGAAACGCTCTCCACACGATCATGTGGATCGGTGTGTTCCCGAGAGCTTCTTTGATCGCGTAACGCAAGGGTTACGCGACGATCTCGAACATGAGCGGGAAAGGCGTCTCCAAATGGCGGACACTGTCTTGAAGCGTCGAGCTGAGTTTGCCTTTGCTCAGCTTGAGAACGAGAGAGCTCTGACGTCTCTGCGTGACGAGATAAGGGTATCTCGTGGGGATGTTGATCGGTCTCGGGCTGAGATAACTGCTCTTAGACCCTTGTCGATGGCCACCTTCGGGAGCACAAGGCTCTCTGCGAGATGCTTGAGCGCAAGGGCGTTCTTCATCGGAAGAAGCAGCGTACTGATGGTACGGCTTAAGACGACCAACGTAAAACGTGGGATTCGTTCGCATCTTACGTGGCAATTCGATCGTGTATGCATTGCCTAGGCGATGCAATACACGAAATGGGCCGATGTACTTGGGTAGTAGTTTACTGCTACCCAAGTTAGTCACTACATGCTTTGGTAGATTAACCGTGGACAGTAGGACTAAGTCACCTTTATTAAACAAAAGAGTGTTTGCCCTTCCATTCTTGTCAGCGTTTTGCTTTTGCTTATCCACCTCTTCGGCGATGGAGTCTTGCACAAAACGGACTACCATTTCACGAGCCAGTATGAATTCATCTGATGACTCGTTAGCTTCAGTGCGCTGTGAGAGCACTGCAGCGACATCAATCTTTTCTTTAGTGAGGGCTTCCGCGCTCTCACTGGCATCATCTTCTTCGATATCGATGTTGTTGATATCGGCATCAAACGCAATGACCTCATCGTCAGAGCGTGATGAGCGTGAACCAAATTGGTTTTTGCTCGCGCGATTCCCTCCCCCTTTAAACCAGAGTCACACTCTAGCAAGGTGGGTACACGCGGATGGCGTAAGCCATTCACGTAAAACGGTGTATGTGTCGTGGACGCATGCACCGAGTTCTTAACGGCAAACTCTACCATTGGCAAGAACTAACTACAACTCTTTAAGGAGTGTACGTATCCTCGAATTATCTCTTCGAGGACACGATTGTCTCGTTCCGTCTGACCATCTGACTCTGGATGATCAGATGTCGACATGTTCAAGCGCGTTCCGAGTGATTTGAACACGGGACGCCAGAAATCAGCAGTGAAGCGTGGATATCTGTCTGATACGAGCTCACGGGGCAACCCATGAAGCCGAAAGATGGTGTCGATAAAGACACAAGCACAGCCACTTGCTGTGATTGACTCTGGTACAGCCACAAGATGTACCATTTTGCTGAATCTGTCAACAAAAACGAGAATACCCGTATTCCCGCGTGCGTCTTTTGGTAACCCGAAGACGAAATCCATTGAGATGGATTCCCAGCACTCAGCCGGAACCGGTAGAGGCTGTAAAGGTGCACGCAGTGAAGGACTTGACTTCACTCGTTGGCAGACTTCGCATGCGCGAACATACTTTCGCACAAACTGATACTGGCGGGGCCAGTAAAAGTCTCGACTTACCGTGAGATATGTTTTCTCTCGGCCACGATGTCCTCCTATAGGAGCATCGTGATACTCGAACATGATCCGCAAACGCAGATCAGTATCATCTGGAATGACAACACGTGGTGTGTCACCAGAAACGGCTGTACAATACAGTAAACCGTTACGAGTAGTGTATCGATCTGATGCAGATCGATACGCAGACGACAATCGTTTCAACGATTCTCGAGATGGTTGGGAGAGATGTGACAACAACTTCACTATCTCACCATCTTGGGCGTATGCCCGCCTCGCATCATCATATAACGTTGAAGATGGAACTGAGGACGTCATAACCGCAACAGTGACTGTCTCACTGTTGGGTTTCGCGACTGTTTCAAAGTCGGGACGACGTGAGAGTGCATCAGCGACGACATTAAGTCGTCCTGGTTTGTACTCGACCGTAAAGTTGTATTCCGCAAAGAATGACAACCACCGCGCCATTCGTTGTGAAATGTGCGGGCTGTTCACTGCCGTGCGTAATGACGCATGGTCAGTGTAAACAATGAAGGGTCTATCTCCTAAGAGATAGACTCTGAACTTCGCGAGTGCATATTTCATGGCAAGGAGTTCCTTGTCATGCACTGGATAGTTCCGCTCAGCTGGTTGCAGCTGACGCGACTGATAGCAGACGACGCGTTCAACGCCTTCAAGATCGTACTGTATTAATGCACAGCCGATTGCAAAATCGCTGGCATCACAGACCACATGAAGTGGCCTGTCCTGATCGGCTATTGCTAGGCGTGGGGATTGTATCAAGCTCTGCTTGATACCATCAAAGGAGCGTTGACATTCAGCGTTCCATAACCACCTCTCGTTCTTTTTTAACAAACGAGAGAGGTGCACAGTCATCTTGGCGTAATTGCGTGAATACTTATGCAAATACGCCGCTAGCCCAAGGACTTTTCGAAGACCTTTGACATCAACCGGCACAGGCCAGTCGGTGATCGCCTAGATCTTTTCGGGATCAGGACGTACACCGTTCTTACCAACGATGCACCCAAGAAGTGGTATTTCGCTTGCTGCAAATATACACTTCTTGAGGTTTGCATGCAGTTGATGCTTTCGCATGATTGTAAGAACCTGTCGGACGTGGTATCTGTGAACCTCGACGTCCGACTTTCCATCCATAGCTCGACCATTGATGAATGCGTCATCGAAATAACTCGGCGCGAATTCTCGTACTGGTCTCAACAGATGTGATACACATCTGTTGAACGTGGCAGGGGCATTACTAGGCCCTTGTGGCATTACTAGCCATTCCCGGAGCATGCCGCTAGGCGTGCTCACTGCGGTATAGGGTATATCCCGTTCTCGCATAAGGATTTGATAGAAGCCATCCATCAAATCCATGGACGAAAAGATGGTACTCTTTGACATCCCATCTATGATGACGTCCTTCCTTGGTACCGGCGTCTAACCGGTACCGTTGCAGCATTCAATTTGTTAAATGCATGCACTATCCGCCACCCTCCTGTTGCTTTTCTGCACACAGAAGGTCGGAGAGCTATGTGGGGAAGTTGATTCCCTCACATGGTCCGCAGCTAAACGATCGGCAACGTATTTGTCGATCGCTTTGACCTGTTCACGAGGCAGTGGCCACTGCTTCATGACACAGTACTTCGCGCCTGGTTTAAGCTCGACTTCGTGCCGAGTACCTTTATCCTTCGGTAACTCGCACGGAACAGTTTCAGGGAATACATCCTTGAATTCAACCAAATCTTCATAGATAGGATTTGTCTTCAGCGATTCCCACGATTGGGAGTCATATCGCTCAACTCGTGTCTTTTCATCGAGGACGCTCTCGTCCATCGATGAACTACTGAGAACTCTCTAGTTCTCAGTAAACATTGTTGCTGACCTTATGTCGGCTACACACTCATCGTCAGCGACGAATACGCAGATCTGCTTGACTTTGCCACTACGCAGATCACGCAAGAACCTTTTATGTTCGAGCGTTGGCAACTGAGTGATCTCCGAAGTTAACTTCGGAGGCGCAATCAGATCAAGTGTGTAAGCGCCTACGCTTGATCCGTTATTGACTATGACATTCAATGTCTCTGTCATTTCCTGGGGACTTATTCCCTCAGGCTTCGAAGGACTTATTCCTTCGGCTTCCCGGGGACTTCTTCCCGCGGGTTTCGGGGAACTAATTTCCGCCATATCTGTAATATCGGGACTTATTCCCTTTACTTCCTCTAGCTGGGGTTGCGCAACCACAGCGAGATCCTCTACGAAAGACTCTCCAGTCGATCTAGGATTATCGTTTCGCTTAACTTGAGCGATCGATTGTTTCTCTTCTATATGTTCCCCGCTAGAGATACATCTTTGTCCCGGTCCACTCGACTTATTCGAGTGGTGGACCTTCGGCGCAGCCTGTGTCTCTGCACAGGTTCCGGAACTTTGCTCCAAAGTGTAACCGTTTGTTACACTAAGGTTTTGTGCAGTCGTACTAACGACCGTACCACAAGTGAGGCCATCGCACTCACTCGTAGTACATCCACACGCTTGTGGACGCTCCAAAACGTTCATCAGATGGCCATCTGATGAACAAGCGGCAGGCATCGTTACTGTTCGATGTTGCCAATTTACTCGTGGTTCGTACCTTCTGAGCCACGGCATTCCAAGGATGACATCAAATTTGTCATCCAAATCCAATACGATAAAGTCATCGTCATATCGGGTATCTTCTAGCGTATAGTGAATCTGCACTATACGCTTCATGACGGTTACGGATGCGCCTGTCGAAAGACGTACCTTCATCCTCGTAGGAGGTGTGTCACATTCACTAAACTTAAAGTGACCATCTTCTAGCGATTGGCGTCGCACAAAATTGTTGGATGCCCCACAATCGACTAGAGCTCGAAGGGACAACTTATTCGTCACTTCGAGTTTCGAGGTAATGAGTGAGACCTCATTACCTAGAGCAGCAACGCACAAAATTTGTGTGTTGGGAGCAACCTTCATCAAGAGGCCTGCAAATTCTATTGATGTTGCTGAACCAGTAGGGTGCTCCGCACCTACTGATCCTGTCCGTTTTTTGACGGTCCATACCGTTGTTGCGTCTTTGCACCAACAGCGGACACGCGTCCCTGCCCCTTTCTCATGGGTGGACGGTCACTACGCCCAGTGTCGCGAGACACTGGACGAGGGGCACTACACTCGTAAGCGTAGTGTCCTGTCTTTTGACATCTGTTGCATTTCTGCAACTTCTTGTAGTCTGTAGAGCGAGCCTTCTCGCTCTCTACATAACAGAGTTCCATCGGCTCTGGACCTCCGCTGTCATATCGACTCGGTTGACGATATGATGTCGAGCTGGCGCGAGCCTGTCTCATACTGAAGTCTTCCTGTTCCGCAATGGAAATGACTTGTTCTAGTGAATCCATTTCAAGTCGGAACAGGTGAGTCTTGACGGGACCATCCGCAAGACCCTGCATGAACACCGAAACCAACGTGTGTTCATCTATCAGGTTGGAACTTATACAACTCGCGAGATGTCGTATATGTTGAGCGTAAGCGTGCACATCACGCTTACCCTGTTTGAGCTTCAAGAGTTCGGTTCAAGCTCTGAACTCAGCTCTAGGCAGTTCAAACGTTTGTCTGAGCCGCGACTTGAAGACTTCCAACGACCCAAACGCATATGGCTCGTGCAACTTGAGCCCCAGTGCCCAAGTCTTGGCACGTCCTGCCAGATTTGATTGGGCAAATGCAACTTGCATACCCCCGTCGTCGATGCGACGCGCCCTTATGGCGTCATCCAATTCGACGAACCATCTCAAGAGGGAGTCCTCTTCGACTCCCCTATACTTAGGGATGTCAATCTTCAAGGTCTCGGGTCGACGCGAGTGCATCGACCCACCAGCAGCAGCCTGCTGCTGTCTCAACAGTTCAAACCGTTGAGCACCTTGTTCTCTCAACAACTCTGCTTGTTGAGAACCTTGTTGGTGAAGCAAGGCTACTTTCTCGCGTTCTGCGTCAAGTTCATTTTGAATGAACTTGGCGATAGTAGCATGTTGGACATCTCTATTGAGAGCCTCTAGCATGACGCTAACAGCATGGATGCCCATGGTTTAACCCATCCGTTCAACCGCATCCCATTCGACATTGCTCAAATGGGAGTAGCCGTCACGCTTAGCGTGAAAGCTTTGGTCATCTTCATCATTCAACATATTCATTTTGGATGTGAACGTGGTCCTTGGACGGACTACGAAGTGCTACCAGGTGTAACGGGGTACCCTGAAGCTTGTACTGGTGACAGTACAAGCTACTTATTCCGATGACAGAATAAGGCGGTGCCTCGTAACTTCACGTACACTCGTACGTGCAGAGGAAGACGGTAAGATGAAGCGAGTACTTGGTTAAAGTAAAAAGTAGAGCTGTATTTATAATAGTTAATGTCTGCAATAAATCACTATTTATCTTCATCGAACTATGTCTGAATACAAATGTGCATATCAACTATCTGCTCATTGCGTGAGTCTGTCGTGGCGCGTCTTCGTCGGTTGATATAATGGCCTATATCAACCAATTAGGAACTACTCGTAAGTGCTACAGAATATTTGTCCTTATGACAATATTCTGATAATCTAACTCTTATAGTTATATTCTACTAACAATTTCTTATAAATTGTTATGTAACGATTCACTTCGTTACAGCAAGGATCCAAACTTATAAAACAATCACATTCTATACGGTGACATTTCCCTTTCGGCTACGAAATATAAAACTCAGCGGTCATCAAACGAAGTAGGAGGACAGCGTATTCTAATCTTACCGGATGTTACGAGATTTAACGGAGGACAACTCTCGAAAGGAGCACTGCCGTAGATTTCGCTCACAAGCTTCTTATCATCTAATGTTCATTTAATTTTTTTGAGCAGTCAAAAAGCAAAAGTGCGAGACACATTGAGTTCTAGTTGTAGGCTCGAAGTATCTCAATTGGATTGTAAAATAAGTTTGCTTGTGGAAGATGCCGATCAAACGCAAGGCCATGACGGTTTGAATGAATGGACCGAGAAAGCGTCCAACTATTAACACACTAGCAACTTCAATATTGGAAGCGGATGTTATTTCTATTACTTCTTACACGTTGTGTCATCTCGAAGAGCGTTTGGAACTACTATCATAATTGCTCAGGTGCAGCATGGTTTCTTTTCTTTAGCAACAAAACTATCTAGCCAGCTTGACTCGCAGAAGCATCCATCCTTGTTGCAGCTCTAACATTAGATCCCCAAACTCGAATTCTGACCGGAGAAAGTTCGTATCGAGACACCGAGAGAGTCGCAAGTGTATCGCCTTGACTTTGTTCCGGAGAGGGCTCCCGAATGAGTAGTGTTGGAGATCGTCATTTTGCAGCAAAATCGGCTGACATCCCATAGTCTTTTATATGCATAGTTAGATATTGTTCTACTTCTGATACCACACGAGAGGCGAAGGACTTGTTTCATTGCAGAGTACCCGCATGAATAATGATCCGATTGCATGATTGTGGCACACGTGACACTTGCTAAGGTGTACGTGATTTATTACGATAGTTTTGGGAAATATCATGGTCGTGGTCATCGTTGCGATATTCTGCTACGGATGTGATAGCTGTCCAGCGGTTATGTCGCTTGATCGATACGTGAGCTGTTCGGTAGTGGCTAAATGCTTGGCATCGTTTCCCTACTTTTGGTTGGTCTTTTTTGGTGAGATATACACGCTCTGTTACGGGGTGAATCGTTACATAACAATTTATAAGAAATTGTTAGTAGAATATAACTATAAGAGTTATATTCTCAGAATATTGTCATAAGGACAAATATTCTGTAGCACTTACAAGTAGTTCCTAATTGGTTGATATAGGCCATTATATCAACCGACGAAGACGCACCACGACAGACGCACGCAATGAGTGGTGAGCAGATAGTTGATATGCACATTTGTATTTAGACATAGTTCGATGAAGATAAATAGTGATTTATTGCAGACATTAACTATTATAAATACAGCTCTACTTTTTACTTTAACCAAGTACTCGCTTCTTCTTACCGTCTTCCTCTGCACGTACGAGTGTACGTGAAGTTACGAGGCACCGCCTTATTCTGTCATCAGAATAAGTAGCTTGTACTGTCATCAGTACAAGCTTCAGGGTACCCCGTTACACCTGGTAGCACTTTGTAGTCCGTCCAAGGACCGCGTTCACATCCAACATGAATATGTTGGATGATGAAGATGACCAAAGCTTTCACGCTACGCGTGACGGCTACTCCCATTTGAGCGATGTCGAATGGGATGCGGTTGAACGAATGGGTTCGACCATGGGCATCCATGCTGTTAGCGTCATGCTAGAGGCTCTCAATAGAGATGCCCAACATGCTACTATCGCCAAGTTCATTCAAAATGAACTTGACGCAGAACGCGAGAAAGTAGCCTTGCTTCACCAACAAGGTTCTCAACAAGCAGAGTTGTTGAGAGAACAGGGTGCTCAACAGTTTGAACTGTTGAGACAGCAGCAGGCTGCTGCTGGTGGGTCGATGCACTCGCGTCGACCCGAGACCTTGAAGATTGACATCCCTAAGTATAGGGGAGTCGAAGAGGACTCCCTCTTAAGATGGTTCGTCGAATTGGATGACGCCATAAGGGCGCATCGCATCGACGACGGGGGTATGCAAGTTGCATTTGCCCAGTCAAATCTGGCAGGACGTGCCAAGACTTGGGCACTGGGGCTCAAGTTGCACGAGCCATATGCGTTTGGGTCGTTGGAAGTCTTCAAGTCGCGGCTCAGACACACGTTTGAACCGCCTAGAGCTGAGTTCAGAGCTCGAACCGAACTCTTGAAGCTCAAACAAGGTAAGCGTGATGTGCACGCTTACGCTCAACATATACGACATCTCACGAGTTGTATAAGTTCCAACCTGATAGATGAACACACGTTGGTTTCGGTGTTCATGCAGGGTCTTGCGGATGGTCCCGTCAAGACTCACCTGTTCCGGCTTGAACTAGATTCACTAGAACAAGCCATTTCCATTGCGGAGCAAGAAGACTTCAGTCTGAGACAGGCCCGCGCCAGCTCGACATCATATCGTCAACCGAGACGATATGACAACGGAGGTCCAGAGCCGATGGAACTCTGTTATGTATAGAGCGAGAAGGCTCGCTCTACAGGCTACAAGAAGTTGCAGAGATGCAACAGATGTCAAAAGACAGGACACTACGCTTACGAGTGTAGTGCCCCTCGTCCAGTGTCTCGCGACACTGGGCGTAGTGACCGTCCACCCATGAGAAAGGGGCAGGGACGCGTGTCCGCAGTTGGTGCAAAGACGCAACAACGGGATGGACCGTCAAAAAACGGACAGGATCAGTAGGTGCGGAGCACCCTACTGGTCTAGCAACATCAATAGAATTTGCAGGCCTCTTGATGAAGGTTGCTCCCAACACACAAATTTTGTGCGTTGCTGCTCTAGGTAATGAGGTCTCACTCATTACCTCGAAACTCGAAGTGACGAATAAGTTGTCCCTTCGAGCTCTAGTCGATTGTGGGGCATCCAACAATTTTGTGCGACGCCAATCGCTAGAAGATGGTCACTTTAAATTCAGTGAATGTGACACACCTCCTACGAGGATGACGGTACGTCTTGCGACAGGCGCATCCGTAACCGTCATGAAGCGTATAGTGCAGATTCACTATACGCTAGAAGATACCCGATATGACGATGACTTTATCGTATTGGATTTGGATGACAAATTTGATGTCATCCTTGGAATACCGTGGCTCAGAAGGTACGAACCACGAGTAAATTGGCAACATCGAACAGTAACGATGCCTGCCGCTTGTTCATCAGATGGCCATCTGATGAACGTTTTGGAGCGTCCACAAGCGTGTGGATGTACTACGAGTGAGTGCGATGGCCTCACTTGTGGTACGGTCGTTAGTACGACTGCACAAAACCTTAGTGTAACAAACGGTTACAATTTGGAGCAAAGTTCCGGAACCTGTGTAGAGACACAGGCTGCGCCGAAGGTCCACCACTCGAATAAGTCGAGTGGACCGGGACAAAGATGTATCTCTAGCGGGGAACATATAGAAGAGAAACAATCGATCGCTCAGGTTAAGCGAAACGATAATCCTAGATCGACTGGAGAGTCTTTCGTAGAGGATCTCGCTGTGGTTGCGCAACCCCAGCTAGAGGAAATTAAGGGAATAAGTTCCGATATTACAGATATGGCGGAAATTAGTTCCCCGAAACCCGCGGGAAGAAGTCCCCGGGAGGCCGAAGGAATAAGTCCTTCGAAGCCTGAGGGAATAAGTCCCCAGGAAATGACAGAGACATTGAATGTCATAGTCAATAACGGATCAAGCGTAGGCGCTTACACACTTGATCTGATTGCGCCTCCGAAGTTAACTTCGGAGATCACTCAGTTGCCAACGCTCGAACATAAAAGGTTCTTGCGTGATCTGCGTAGTGGCAAAGTCAAGCAGATCTGCGTATTCGTCGCTGACGATGAGTGTGTAGCCGACATAAGGTCAGCAACAATGTTTACTGAGAACGAGAGAGTTCTCAGTAGTTCATCGATGGACGAGAGCGTCCTCGATGAAAAGACACGAGTTGAGCGATATGATTCCCAATCGTGGGAATCGCTGAAGACAAATCCTATCTATGAAGATTTGGTTGAATTCAAGGATGTATTCCCTGAAACTGTTCCGTGCGAGTTACCGAAGGATAAAGGTATTCGACACGAGGTCGAGCTTAAACCAGGCTCGAAGTACTGTGTCATGAAGCAGTGGCCACTGCCTCGTGAACAAGTACTTGCGATCGACAAGTTCTTTGCCTATCGTTTAGCTGCGGGCCATGTGAGGGAATCAACTTCCCCACATAGCTCTCCGACCTTCTGTGTGCGAAAAGCAACAGGAGGGTGGCAGATAGTGCACGCGTTCAACAAATTGAACGCTGCAACGGTACCGGCTCAGACGCCGATACCGAGGAAGGAAGTAATCATTGATGGTATGTCAAAGAGTATCATCTTTTCTTCCATGGATTTGATGGATGGCTTCTATCAAATCCTTATGCGGGAACGGTATATACCCTATACCGCAGTTAGCACGCCTAGCGGCATGCTCCGGGAATGGCTAGTAATGCCACAAGGGCTTAGTAATGCCCCTGCCACGTTCAACAGATGTGTATCACATCTGTTGAGACCAGTATGAGAATTCGCTCCGACTTATTTCGATGACCTATTCATCCATAGTCGAGCTATGGATGGAAAGTCGGACGTTGAGGTTCACAGATACCACGTCCGACAGGTTCTTACAATCATGCGAAAGCATCAATTGTATGCAAACCTCAAGAAGTGTATATTTGCAGCAAGCGAAATACCACTTCTTGGGTGCATCGTTGGTAAGAACGGTGTACGTCCTGATCCCGAAAAGATCAAGGCGATCATCGACTGGCCTGTGCCGGTTGATGTCAAAGGTCTTCGAAAAGTCCTTGGGCTAGCGGCGTGTTTGCACAAGTATTCACGCAATTACGCCGAGATGACTGTGCACCTCTCTCGTTTGTTGAAAAAGAACGAGAGGTGGTTATGGAACGCTGAATGTCAACGCTCCTTTGATGGTATCAAGCAGAGCTTGATACAATCCCCACGCCTAGCAATAGCCGATCAGGACAGGCCACTTCATGTGGTCTGTGATGCCAGCGATTTTGCAATCGGCTGTGCATTAATACAGTACGATCTTGAAGGCGTTGAACGCGTCGTCTGCTATCAGTCGCGTCAGCTGCAACCAGCTGAGCGGAACTATCCAGTGCATGACAAGGAACTCCTTGCCATGAAATATGCACTCGCGAAGTTCAGAGTCTATCTCTTAGGAGATAGACCCTTCATTGTTTACACTGACCATGCGTCATTACGCACGGCAGTGAACAGCCCGCACATTTCACAACGAATGGCGCGGTGGTTGTCATTCTTTGCGGAATACAACTTTACGGTCGAGTACAAACCAGGACGACTTAATGTCGTCGCTGATGCACTCTCACGTCGGCCTGACTTTGAACCAGTCGTGAAACCCAACAGTGAGACAGCCACTGTTGCGGTTATGACGTCCTTAGTCCCATCTTCAACGTTGCATGATGATGTGAGGCGGGCGTACGCCCACGATGGTGAGATTATGAAGTTGTTGACACATCTCTCCCAACCATCTCGAGAATCGTTGAAACGATTGTCGTCTGCGTATCGATCTGCATCAGATCGATACACTACTCGCGACGGTTTACTGTATTGTACAGCCGTTACTGGTGACACAGCACGTGTTGTCATTCCAGATGATACTGATCTGCGTTTGCGGATCATGTTCGAGTATCACGATGCTCCTATAGGAGGACATCGTGGCCGAGAGAAAACATATCTCACGGTAAGTCGAGACTTTTACTGGCCCCGCCATTATCAGTTTGTGCGCAAATACGTTCGCGCATGCGAAGTCTGTCAACAAGTGAAGTCAAGTCCTTCACTGCGTGCACCTTTACAGCCTCTACCGGTTCCGGCTGAGTGCTGGTAATCCATCTCCATGGATTTTGGCTTCGGGTTACCCAAAGACGCACGCGGGAATACGGGTATTCTCGTATTTGTTGACAGATTCAGCAAAATGGTACACCTTGTGGCTGTACCAGAGACAATCACGGCAAGTGGCTGTGCTTGTGTCTTTATTGACACCATCTTCCGACTTCATGGGTTGCCCCGTGAACTCGTATCAGACAGAGATCCACGATTCACTGCTGATTTCTAGCGTTCCGTGTTCAAATTACTCGGAACGCGCTTGAAGATGTCAACATCTGATCATCCAGAGTCAGATGGTCAGACGGAACGTGCCAATCGTTTCCTTGAAGAGATACTTCGAGGATACGTACACTCCTTTAAGAGTTGGAGTGAGTTCTTGCCAATGGTAGAGTTTGCCATCAACAACTCGGTGCATGCGTCCACGACACATACACCGTTTTACGTGAATGGCTTGCGCCATCTGCGTGTACCCACCTTACTAGAGTGTAACTCTGGTTTAAGGGGGGGAGGGACTCGCGCGAGCAAAAACCGATTTGGTTCACGCTCATCACGCTCTGACGAAGAAGTCATTGCGTTTGATGCCGATATCGATAACATCGATATCGAAGAAGATGATGCCAGTGAGAGTGCGGAAGCCCTCACTGAAGAAGATGATCCCAGTGAGAGCGCGGAAGCCCTCCTTGAAGAAAAGGTTGATGTTGCTGCAGTGCGCTCACAGCACACTGAAGCTAACGAGTCATCAGATGAGTTCATACTGGCTCGTGAAACGGTAGTCCGTTTTGTGCAAGACTCCATCGCCGAAGCGGTGGATAAGCAAAAGCAAAACGCTGACAAGAATGGAAGGGCAAACACTCTTTTATTTAATAAAGGTGACTTAGTCCTACTGTCCACGGTTAATCTACCAAAGCATGTAGTGACTAACTTGGGTAGCAGTAAACTACTACCCAAGTACATCGGCCCATTTCGTGTATTGCACCGCCTAGGCAATGCATACACGATCGAGTTACCACGTAAGATGCGAACGCATCCCACGTTTTACGTTGGTCGTCTTAAGCCGTACCATCAGTACGCTGCTTCTTCCGATGAAGAACGCCCTTGCGCTCAAACATCTCGCAGAGAGCCTTGTGCTCCCGATGGTGGGCATCAACAAGGGTCTGAAGAGCAACTATCTCATCCCGAGACCGATCAACAATCCCACGAGCTACCCTTAGCTCGTCACGAAGAGATGTCAGAGATCTCTCGTTCTCAAGCTGAGCAAAGGCAAACTCAGCTCGATGCTTCGAGGCAGTGTCCGCCATTTGGAGACGCCCATTCCGCTCATGTTCGAGATCGTCGCGTAACCCTTGCGTTACGCGATCAAAGAAGCTCTCGGGAACACACCGATCCACATGATCGTGTGGAGAGCGTTTCCCTCCTCCTCCACCTCCATTAGAGGACTCTCGCGGTGGCCAGAGCTATCTAGTTGAGCAGCTGTTGAACCACCGCGACGTGAACGGACGTCGGACGAGTTATCTCGTCTGGTGGCGCGGCTACCCCCGTCCTGGGATAATTGGGAGCCCCGCTCCCAACTGATGATCGACGTACTGGGTCTGGTCGAGCAGTACGATGCGGCACGACCTGTGCCGCAGAAGGACCGCCGGAGAAAGTCTTCCCGGCACGGTCGTAAACGGATTTCAGGTTGTCAATCCCTTCGTACATCTCAGTAGAGATACGTACGCGCCACCACGGACTAGTAAGGAGGTAAGCCTCCTTAGGTGCTCGTGCAGAGTTGTTCACACAACATGGGCACGAGTCTCCCCAGGAAAGGCAGGGTAATCCTTTCTCCCTTGACAGACGATGCAGCTTGTAGCGTGCACCTGTCGGGGTTCGCTTTTCAAACTTATCACGAGCTTTGATAAGTTTGTCGTTCCAAGCGTCACGACCTACATCCTCAAGGTTATGGATGTAGGCGTTCCACGCTTGAAGCAGTGAGGGACCATCACGTTTGTGATTCCCACTGTACCATCGATGTTTGAAGAAAGCATCGATGAAGAATTCATTCTCAGCGCGATAGTTTTTCGCACTGGGGTCAAGGTGATGGATCCTTGACGAATCGAACAACCGTGTTCGATAACGATCACTCGTCGTCGCCGACAAGTGATCCATGACAGATTTTGGAGGCATCCATGCCTTCTTCTCGGGAGCGAGACGCAAGACATTGCGGTCCCGCTCTTCCTGCGACGTGCCGACAGAAGTACTGGCACCTCGTTGCGAAGTGGTGTCAATAGGAGAACCGACACCACTGTTAGCGCCCGAGTCTCGCGACCTCGAGCGCCTTCGCTTCGGCGATGGTTCATCTGATTCATCAGATGAATCAAAGATGCTACGACGCATAGCATCATCCATGGCACACTTGGCAGACGGCTTGGTTTCGATCGCCGTCGATACGGATCCGTCTTCCGTATCAGGAGAGTATGAGACACCGAGCTCATACTCTGTGAAGACATGAGTGTCTTCATGACGAGCGCCTGCATCACCAAGTGACACAGGCTGAGTCGCTTCAGCAACCGATGACACATCAGTTGCAGCGGTTTTTGCTTCGGCGTCTGCATAGAGACGTGCGGACGCGCTCTCGGCGGCCTTGCTAACGCACCGCATGGGCTTGTTAACCATGCGATGAACTGCTGGAAAGTGGACTCGGACCAACAAGTGCAAACCCTGTCCCAAATGGTTCGGGACGAGTATCAATTTAGTCAATCAGTCACTAAAGTGACCGATGGTTAAGGGGGGGGTGATGTAACGGGGTGAATCGTTACATAACAATTTATAAGAAATTGTTAGTAGAATATAACTATAAGAGTTAGATTATCAGAATATTGTCATAAGGACAAATATTCTGCAGCACTTTCGAGTAGTTCCTAATTGGTTGATATAGGCCATTATATCAACCAACGAAGACGCGCCACGACGGACGCACGCAATGAGTGGTGAGCAGATAGTTGATATGCACATTTGTATTTAGACATAGTTAGATGAAGATAAATAGTGATTTATTGCAGACATTGACTATTATAAATACAGTTCTACTTTTTACTTTAACCAAGTACTCGCTTCTTCTTACCGTCTTCCTCTGCACGTACGAGTGTACGTGAAGTTACGAGGCACCGCCTTATTCTGTCATCAGAATAAGTAGCTTGTACTGTCATCAGTACAAGCTTCAAAGTGCCCAGTTACACTAGTACGTGCAGAAGAAGGCAATTTCCTTAATCTACTCGTATTAGCAACGGTGAAAAAGAGCTGTATTGATATAGTTGATCTGTAACGGGGTCACACTAGCCTTTTCTAACGGGGTAGCCCCATACATGAAATTGAAACCAAAGGTGTCAATAGGAATACTGTCTAGCATGACAATATTCTACCAATATTATCCGAGGTGGATATTGTTGAAGGAATGTTATCTCCTTAGATAATATTTATGCGCTGCTCGTAGATTGGTTGATATAAGACATATCAACCATAGATTGCCACCAATCGCTGCTAGACGCGCGCAATGAGTGGTGAGCAGGTTGACGTCATACGACAATGTGGGTCGATATAGTTAGATAAAGATTAAAGTTAGATTGATAGCTTAACTATATTAATTACAGTTCTCTTTTAACCCTAACTTGACCGAGTCGTTTAAGTAGATTAGCTTCTTCTGCACGTACTAGTGTACGTAAAGTTTCGCGGCACCTCTAACAATGGATGCCCCGTTACACCTTTGGCTAAATTGGTCAAAGAACTTCACATTTATATGGATGAGGATGGATGTGTGAGACAATAGATTTCTTAATAGCAAGAGAATATCGATTGATCGATTCCCAGATTTACGGTACTTACCGTGTACCTACTTTGTACTGTCATCATTTGATGACTGAGTGATGTGGCAACCATCCATTTAGTTCGAATACTAATTTTTGTGTTAGTTCTAGTTTAATATAATGTAGGGTACATAAAGCAGGATTTTCCTTAATTTAAATCGAAATAAAGTTCTGTACTCATTTTGTGCCGAAGTCCCTAGACTTCCTCCCCTTTCGCACCTTGCTTTTGACAGTTCTTTAGAGCTGTCGTGGGTTAGAGAGTCTTTAGACTCCGCTATTTCCCTTTCGCACATTGTGCGTGTAGTTCCTTAGAACTACAGTAGCTGAGCTGTTAGCTCGTAGAGTCCATCCGACTTCCGTAGAACTGGGTGACTCTTTGACTTAGTATAATAGTTCCGTAGAACTAAAAGACTGTCAGCCATAAGTCGTTGAATTGTTAAATAAGTCTTCCTCTGTGTAGCTCCGCTACACGATCTATCGATACATAACTCAATCTTTATGAGACTATGTTGATCTACACTGTCGTGTGACTACCAGCTGCCGACACCCATAATGCGCGTCAAGCAGCGATTGGCGGTAGTCATAATTAATAAGTATTTCATTAATATTCGAGCAGCACGAGAATTATTCCTTCAGTATTATCCATCTCGGATGATATTGGCAGGGTTTTGCCACGTAATACAATATCTCTAGTCAAACCGTTTGGTGTCAAAGTCATGTAACGGGACACCCCGTTATGTCACTCCCCCCCTTAACCATCAATCACCCGTTGATTATACAGAATTGATTGAGACAGGGTGAACACCGTTAGATCACTCTGGGAAGGGGGTGCACTTGTTAATCAAATTCCCACTCATTTGCCAATCCATCGCATGGTATCCAAACCATGCGATGCGCTGCCGAAGCAGCAAGAAAGGCGGCTTCACACATGTGTACAGCCGAAGAGAATTCTTCTCTTACTTCAGCAGCAGGTGATCCTTCGCCTGCTGTCGCAATCTAGCAACAGGCAGTGCCTATTGTAAATAGTCAATGTGGAGAGTCACCACGTGCGACAGATACATTTTCTGTGTCTGCAGTGGGTGCTGCAACTCGCAAAGTAGATGAGCCTGGGATAGAGCTCATTTATTGAGGCGATTCGGATGATGCATCCGACTCGAAGGCGGCGCCTCTCGTCTCCGGATCATCTAAGGCGGATACGGCAAGATCCAGGTTGACTGGCTCTGGGGACGTAGCAGCATCATGTTCGAGATCTTCGGACCGAGTGATTCTTCTGACGAATTTCCGCCTCACGCAAGTCCATCCGACGATAGGACGCGTGGTGATGGAGGAGATGCACCTGTACATCATCACAAGAGAAGCAACTCGAGGAATCGAGCTGCCACTGGTGTCAGTGCTCATGCTAACATCACTCAAGAGGCCATGGACCAAAATGTCCTGCACCACGCTCCTCAAGTAGAATCTCCGTGGATGCCGCCATCCAGAGAGTTAGATCAAGTGGCCGGCATGACTACCGAAAAATATCGAATTCTGTTATTCGATAGCAGGAAGATTTGCCCACCTGATTCCAGAACAAAGTATATACGTGCTAAGGAATAGTTCTTCGTCGAAGCGTTTTTGAAGCTTTGGTGGTACAACAGGAAACGCGGTCGAGACGGCAAGGACTTGGTGCAAGGATGGAATGCCCTATTTCGTAACAGCGAGTGCAATGGCTGTGAGGCCTGGCTCGTCAAACTTAATGCAAATCGCATCAGGTTAAAAAAAAACGCAACCCAGTCGGGGCGCAATACAAGTTGCACCGGCTTTTAAGAGAGGCATAATAAACCTGTCTCTTGTGGGGCGACTCGAGTCCAGGCTGACTAGATAACTCGAATCGTGCATCTAGGTAGGCCTTCCTTGCTTGAGTTCCCTACTGAAGAGCGCACATCTCTTCAGAGATGGCCGAAGGGATTGACATTTTTTTAACCCCTGTACTTTCGTTCGGGGAGGTCAATTTCCGATGGACCTTCTTCGACGCAGCGGATGGGTCTCGACACATTGCTCGACAAAACTGAGGACATAAACAATCAGCTGGGTGCGAGGCTCCGAGCTGTCACAGGCCGTTCGATTGCCACGCCAGTGGATAAGGTAACTGGTCCGGACGCCATTCACGTCGCGGTGGTTTAGGATACGCTCCACCAGAAAGTGTTGACAACCGCCAGAGTCAACAAAAGAATGTGGTGGTGGCGGGAACACCTGATCCGTCTCGAGGGTCGGATCAGCTTGATGTTCAGGAGCTGAACTGTGTATTTAATTTGCTGCGCGACGACCTAAATTACGAACGGACACAGCGTTATGAGCTTGAGGATCTTGTAAGGGATAATTACAATTTCTAAGCGCACGATCGTTCGGACGATCGTGCCGCGTTTGCGGTTGCACAACTTGAGAACGAACGTTCGGCTCGTTCTCTTCGTGACGAGCTG